CGGGATGCAATAACTGCAGCAACACCACCCCATGCGGGGCCAAAGTTTGACCGTTTCTTACGAGGTTTGCTTTCAATTAAGTAACCGTGAGGCAGTTCAATTGCGTCATGCTCATCCACTCGTAGATGTGTTTCTTGAAACAGGTTGACATCAAAGTTACGCAGCTTTTTTATGAAGGTTGGGCAGCTCATTTGTACAGCAAAGTTACCTCTGATATTCCAGCTTTTGATTTTCAGAGAGTGCTGGACTGGAATTGGTAGAGAAGGTATAAAATCAAGGGAATCATGGGAAGGCAACAAAGGGGATGCATTCGCAGACACACTACTTGACAATACTAGACTACCGCTGTACGGGACAACATGAGCTGCCCTTACGCATTTAAACGCCTTGCAACAATGCCGGACCATTTACCACGGGCGCTGTTCCATCCAGTTGGTGACGAACCAGTTAGCGGCTGCGGCATGCTCCCACGACAGAGCGACATAATGCTTGTCGTCCATTTCGCGCGCTCCCATGTGTCGCATGTTGGGGCGTGAAGCGCATGCCCTCGTTGATTATCTGCTTTGCTTCGCTGAGAGGGTTGCCACGCCAGACAACTGGCCCGAAGACGACCTCAGTGCCAGTTGGGTAGGAGTTGCGAGCCGGGGCATATGGGACAGCAGCCGCAAGGGCGGAACCCGTTGCCGGAGCCGTGGGGATTGCTGGTTGAGCGGCCATCCAGACAGCGGGGGCAACAGGGTCGCCAGTGGCCGCCACACTCGCGTTGGTACTCGCGCCCGCCAGGAGCCCAAGGATAGCATTAGCGGTGTCGACAGCCATAGTCGACGCGGTGGAGTCAGCCCTGGCTCGAACTTCCCGCGTAGCGTCTCTTTCTTCCTCGCGCGCACGTTTTTCTCCCAAGGCTGCCGAGATTGAGTTGAGCGTCGAAATAGCCGGCATCGAAGACGCAACAGCGCCACCAGCAGTGGGTGCGGAGAAGGCGTTAGTTGGGAACGCAATGGGTCTGGGAGCCGTCGGCACTGCGTCGATGATGGCTGGCGCTGGCACTGGGTTGATCATTGGCGGGGCAGGGGACGGGTCTACCGCATCCGGTGCAGTACGGATCATATGAGTTTTGAGGGCCTCGATAACCGCTTCCAACTGAGCCTTCACGGCCTGGATTTCATTCGCCGCCTCAATAAGGACGGCCCGATTTTCGTTGGCAGTGTCGTTAGCTTGGAGGGCCACATCTCGGACAGCGTCGATGCCGAGTTTGATATCCTCTTGAGCAGCAGTCAACGCGGTGATTTCGGTGGTCAGTTTTTCAATAGTTGGGATGACGCCGTCAGGGATGGGGAAGACCGGGCCATGTCCTTCATGTAGGGTTTGTACGGTCATCTTTTGACGAGCAAGCAGACCTGGACGATGAACGTCAAATCTGTTGTCAATTAATTCAAGCAAAAGTGACGCACTCTCCAGACGTCCGTCCATGGAGAGCCAGCTTTCGCGGTTTTGCTCATGGACTTGGGCAAGGCCGGCTACAACACGGTCGAGTTGCGCTTGCATGGCAATCCCATCCTTGGCGGTCCAGCGAGTGTTGGCGAACGGAGCTGGCAGGCCCAGGGCAGCGATGAAGGGGTGGGCCGTGGGGGCTTTGTCCTTTCCCTTCTCCTTGTCCGCTCCGTCAGCAGGAGCTACCTCGCTGTCATTTCGAGAGAGGGGCGCAGTGGAAGTGGTGACTGGTGGAGTATTCGTTGTCGCAGTTAAAGAGTTCGACACAGACTGGCTTGCGAGCGCAGTGACGGGCGTTGATGACGGCAGTACTGGGCTGAGTTGTTTTGTTTGCGGACGGAAGCCGCATTGGAGGCCTTGGCGGTTATGAGAAGGTTGGAAAGCCACCGGGTGTAGCCGAGAGTGACGTGCCGGGCATGTTGGGGTTGATAGGGATTGGATCGAGAGCCAACCCAAGATCAGTCTCGCCGGAGTTTGCATCGGGCGCGTCGGTTTGGGTGTTGGTGGACAAGGCTGTCATCTTTTTGAGTTGGAGGTGGGAGAGCAGAGAGAGCTTATGTTTGGAGAGGGTTTTTAATTTATACTACTGCCTATGCGCACGTGTCTGGAGTCACCTTCTAAGTAGTTGTGACTTATCAAGGGACAGGGGAAAAATAAAAGCAGGACAACAGTAGGCTATTTTTGAGGGGGGGTGGTGTTCAAGAGCAGAGCAGGTTTGTATCCAGTTGTACTCAAGCTGAACAAAGCAAATGCATAGACGATGAAATGTTCTCTCGGTGAGTTCAGTAAGCGAGCGCGGACTTCGAAGTGACGGCACTTGAGCTTCTTTCCGCCAGTCAATCTCCAGCAGACGCCAGCAGAGACTGCTCCGTAGCACTTAGAGAAGAGAATGGTGCTGGCTGAAGGTACTGGTCACCGATTTTCGTGCAAGCAACAGCTTGTTATATAATTTATTTTGATTTTCTGTATGTACTTTGAGCCTGCGGTCCCTCCAAGTGAGTAGCGTAGGTTTGTACGGTGGTCACTTGGGTCGGGAGCGAGGAATGTGGTTGGGGAGGTGGGAATCGGAGGATGATGATGGTGGTAGAATGAATCAGAAAATGGAAACAGAGAAGACAGCTCGTCCAACTCGACCAATAGCCCTAGTAGGATTGTCGGCTTCCAAGCTCAAACAACGCATCCATCGCCCTGCTCCTGACGTCGACGATCGCTTCTCCCAAGGGTATCCGAAGGGCGGTGCCTCAGACAGCACACAAGTCGCTAGCGGGTCTCAAGTGGGAAATGGTGAATGAGAGGTTTTGGTATAGCTTGTTCAAATACGTGTAACCACCAGTGTTGTGTACTTTGTGCATCCTTAAGCTTTTCCGGGATCCTATCGATTCGTTTGGATTCCGCTACCTCTGGTCAAATCTTCCCCGGTGCCTTCCGAATCCCTTGAGTCCGCAGAGCCGTTGACAATTGGGTCAAGGAGTTTTGGCGTGAAGAAGCCCCGAGCAGAAGTTCCCGGATGGAAAGCACAAGTCGGATAGTTGAGACCACAGTCAATTCTTGTTTCGGGTGGAAGGCATGGAGCCACGGGAACGAAAGTGAGATCACATCCGCATGTCGCAGACCATCTGGTTAAATACGTGGTCAATAACAGTAGGATTTACTCGTCTCGCCCCACCATCTGCGTCGAACAATGAATGGTTGTCAATTCTCGAGTGCTTGTCGCTTTCTGCTCTGACTTGCGTCTTCGGAAAGGCTATCGTCTATATCGGATCCGAAGTTTTTGAAGTAAGTGGCTACAAGCCTTGGCTTCCTCCTGCGCTCACTCTTGTTAAGTTGGTGACGACGGGGTCCTTGCTGCAAGATCTAGAGCTCTTGCCGGCCTGCCGAGTGTGTCGGATGTCTGAAGGGAGATGTTCCAGCGGGGTTTGCCTGATGAGATGCATAGACGCTCAGCGGCATAGGCCACTGTGGCGAGAGTATCTCATCATACCATCCCCGGGAGGGAACACGGCGGAAAATGCTCCTTAGGTGACCGCGATTTATCGAGGTCATCGTTGACAACGGGAATGCCATGCACACAGACGCGGTCCGTCAAGTTTCTTCTTACAGCGAGGCGTCCAAGTCCAAACCCTCACAAACGTCTTAAGACGGGGTGACGACTGGATCCTTTTTGCGAGGGCTCTTGCGGGGGGCCGGGTGTAGCGGACATCTGGAAGGAGATGTTTCGGCGAGGTTTGGCTGATGAGTTGCATTTAGAACGCTCGGCGGGGAATTGGGGCCCTGTGTCATTTATCAGGGTCAATCATACGAGCCGTCTGTGGCGAGAGTAACTTCATCATACCATCCTCGCGCGGAAACAATCGGCAAATGCTCCTTAGGTGGTCGAGATTCGTCGAAGCCATCGTTGATGACGGGAATGCAATGTGCACGCAGCATTTCGTTCAACTAAATCCTTGCGGAAAGGCCATGCAGATCCGAACTCTCGCTGTTGCAACCTTTGCAACTCAGTTACCGGGACGGAGCAGAGGGATGAAGGGAGCGGTTGATGTTGGCGCGAGGGAAACAAATGCTGTCTGATAATCGTGTGGTGGAGAGTTTCGGGCTTAAATAATTGATTTCGTCAACTAAAGCGCGCGTCTGCACGGATACTTCAAGTTTGTACTGGTTGCAATGAGTGAGCGATAGAAACAATGTGCGTGAATAGAGTGAACCTAATGCCCGCAAAGCCAGCAATCAACGATGACATCAACGCCCGGAGATGAACTACCTGTCATCTGGTGAGCGGGAAACGATGCTCCACGGACATCAAGAGCATACTTACAACTTCAGAATCTGACGAGCAATTCTTCTTTGTTCCTTAAAGCGCGAGCCAATGGCGCATTACTTGCATCTGCACTGGAAAACTAGCATTAGGCCCGGGACACGGTGACACTCATGGTCGGAAAATATGGATTTCAAGTTTTGAGGACGAAAATGGAAACTTTTGGACGCAGAATTGCGAAAGTTTTGTTAGGCGTATGGACTTTTGAGGCTTGTGCCATACTGTATGTTGGCCCTTGATGGATTGCCATGTTCGACGTTTGGAATGATTTTTTGGGGAAATGTTCCGCCTGTGGTCGAGTGTCACTGGCATTGTTGAGATGGTCGAGCATAGGTCATCGGGAAAAGTTGGTTGGAGCACACAGCGTAAAGGCTTTCGAGCAAAACTACCCGACGCGGAGTTGGTCAACTTCAAAGAGATGTGTGATTAGTCATCAGGCCGTGATTTCCTTATCAACTTGGGCACTCAGAAATAGCAGCCACTACTTAACTCATGGGCCAGGAAACCGTTGATCATGATCACAACTGGTGCTAGCAGTGCAACATGACCGTAGAATAAGACTTGACAAAAAAAATGTCACTCGGGGGGACCTATAAGTATGGCCTTAATAACATAACATAACACAACCGCAGATTGGACTCATGGGCGTTCCAGCCAGAAGCTACTCGTTGCGAAGATAAATATACACATGCTCTTTCTATACTTTTCCATGGCGCTCATCCAGTGTTGACAGACTGAATATCGTGTCGCTGGGCTGGGCCGAACCAGCCATGGACAGGGACACCTGAGGCGTAAACCGCATGGTATCTGCGCTAACTGTTCCTCGGGATTTCCATGAAGGTTCAGCGCGCGATAAGCCCAAAGAAACACGGGCGACAATCAAAGTTGGCGCAATGCCCTATTATAGATTAGCTCTAACCTTGATATGTAGCCCTCAAAAAAAATAAGTATACCGTCATCGGCCCCAAAATCGCCTGTGGGTACCCGTCCGCGACATTCAGCGAGCCCATGGCGATGAACGCAATCAGCGTGGCTGAATACATGGCGGCAGACTCGACCACCATTTCGATCACACCGCTATAGCTCCGCAACTGCCCGAAACTCCCGCGTGCCAGAAGGACGATCCGAATGACGATAAGCAGCGTACACAGGACCGTCGTGCTGAGTGACAGATAAAAGTATGGGTTGGAGAACTGCACATAGGCATCGGCCGCAGTGGCTTTGTTCAGCAGAAATCGGGCTTCTTGGGCCACACTGAGATATCCGAGAACTGGTCGTTCGTGGTGTCAGTCAACGTTGACGAAGTACATCAAGAAGAGAATCTCTTACGTGCACCAGTTATCGTGGAAAGTGCCGGTATTGTAACTACCCGGTAATCACGTCCCCAGATGGTCCAGCATCTCCAGACCTATCGATTAGAGTTGAGATTGGTTGACAAATATTGGCAGATAACTTGCCAAAATGGAGTCGGCAAAGAACGTGTTTGTCGCAAAGACTGTTGCCTCCAGGATTTCGACAGATGGGCGCGGGGATGAGAGGTAGGTTGCAACAGACAGTGGGGTCTCTCCGTTAAGAACGAACGCGGTTTTGACAATGGACCACTTGGTCGCCAGATGAATTGTCGACATTGCAAACATGACCACAACCGCAAAATGCAGTCCAAAGCTGTCTAATTGAAGTTGACGTCTAGAGACTATGCCGAAAGCGTTATTTTGTGTGTCCTCATTTGAATTGAAGGAACATTTCGAACCGATAGAGGCTACTGTGACACCAAACAGCGCGACGTAAATTCCTGCCAGAGGTAGAGTTGGTTAGAACATGTCACGAAAATCTTTGAAGTGGGCTACGTACCATATACTAGGGATTCAAGGGCTAGCATATCAAAGTAGACTTCTAGAAGTGGTCGGACAGCAGCATAGTCTGCATTGGAGGACATCGATCGTGACGACTGTGAGGGAGAGCCTTCCGACCCTCCGTCGCGGTGCTGGGTATATGAGTGACCGCGGGCCGTGCGGCAGATTTCTCATGTCCAACACCAGAATAGCGCGCCCTGCCACCTGTTCAAGAACAGCACACTGATATCTGTCCAGCGCGATATTAACCGTGCTCAAGTTTGGCTCTGTATATGCCTATCCCGTGTAGTTGGCCAGTACGAGTGCGCTAGTCGAGTCATCCAATCAGACCTTGGTGGACAGAAGCGAAGATGAAAAGGTTTGGTTGACCCACGTCGGATCAAAGCTCGGATCAACTGAGCACAGCCAACATCAATTGTCTGCAACTCTGTCCAACACAAGATGGACCTGACTGTCCTGACCTCACACTTGACCTTAACTGGCGTCTGGCTCCCACCTTTGTATCGTCGGCCACTCGATTGACTTGTGGCATCAAGAAAAGTCTATTTAAACCCACTCGGCAAATGATTTACCAATCTCAGCATCCCAAAGTTTTCCCCTCTATCAGCCATGATCTCTTCCAAGTTTCGACGTCTTCCTTCGTTTTGGATGTCCCGGTTCCAGAACTCAGCACGTTTCTGACAGACTGAGAGCCACATGTACGTATGCTTCGCCTTCGATTATGCATGCCACTTAGTGCTTATTTTCGTCGTTTTGCAGACTTTTGCGCCTCGCCTGCTCAGTACTTCGCCTCCGAGCTCCCGCCCTCAAAAAGATATCTATCACGAGCCAATGGGAAGCAACTTTATTCGTGCCTCTTTATCCGGTTCTCGAACACAAGAGCGCTGTTGGCGCTATGTATGGGAGGCGTCGGAGGCTTAAAAGCTGATGAGAGTGTCAATATGGACCCTCAGGACCATTTTATTTCCAGAAATGAAAGCCACACTCGCGCTCCTCGTTGTTCTCGCCGTCGGAGTCGCTAATAGTATGCCTGAGCTCTCCCAGTGATCATGATATAGAGCTAATGGATTGTAGCATCTGCTCTAGCTATCGACAAACGGAATGTGCTCCCATTCAACGTCTATCCTACACCTGCCCTGTAAGGGACTCCTACTAGTCATATAGAAGGGCAACTTGACACATAACCCAATTTTACAGCACAGCTGCAATCGAACTGAGTAAACGCGCAGTTGAACCTCCTTTCAACATTTATCCTACCCATGCCCCGTCAGCTTGTGTACCCATGCCGATCCCTTACGCTGATAGTGCTTGCAGCGAGGCCGCCGAGGGTGTGAAGGAACGCAGCGGAGTCCTCCCTTTCAATATATATCCGTCTCTTGCTCCGTAAATGCTTCCACCCGTGTAAATCTAGATTTTTGGCTCACTTTTCCGCAGCGAAGAGGCTCCCGATGTCGAGGAACGCGGCAACGTTGGGTTAGCCCCGTAAGCAATCTATTTTGTCGACTTCCCTTCCAATGAATATTCTCTCTGTAGCGAGGCAACTCCCCACGGCGAAGTTAACATCCTCCCATTCAATGTTTATCCGACGCTTGCCCCGTAAGTGATGTTGTTGCATGCGGGAATTGGGTTTGGATCTTCTCCGGCAGTGAGACAACTCCTCGCGTCGAAGAACGTGGCAACGTTGGGATAGCCCCGTAAGCAATCCATTTTGTCTACTTCCCTTTCAATGAATATTCTCTCTGCAGTAAAGCAGCTCCCCACGACGAAGTTAACATCCTCCCATTCAATGTCTATCCGACGCTTGCCCCGTAAGTGCTACATAGTAATATCGCACTCGGGAACTGGGTTTAGATCTTGTCTGACAGTGAGACAACCCCTCGCGTCGCAGGACGCGGCAACATTGGCATTCTTCCGTTCAACGTCTACCCAACTCTCGCTCCGTCAGTGGTTCTAGTTATATTATGCCAGAACGCTTATGGTCCCATTCCACAGGGAGGCTACTCCGGACCTTGAAGAACGCTGCCTTCCGTTCAATATCTATCCTACGCTTGCACCGTGAGCGATTCCAGTTCTGCTGTGACAAGATCATGAAAACCCGCTGCAGCGAGGCCACTCCAGTCGGCGATAAACGCGCCCCTACGCTCGTTCGGTGAGTATCTTTCCAGCCACCAGCAGCTTTGCGTTCTTATACCAGTATCAGCAAAGCGCAGGGATGTTAAGGACAAGTCAAGTGTTTTTGGTCTCGGGTTTTGAGTCGAAGTGGACCTTTTTTCGAATGTTTCTATGTAAATTCAAGTTGGATTATATGAGGTGTAACTATATTGTGAGTTTGTCAGCAATGTTTTGTCTACAAAAAGCGCATCGTCAAATCTTTGGTGCCGATGTAAACGTCCACTCCCATCGCGGGCCATTCCCTAAACGGCGCCAATAACTCGTCAGCGGGCTTGCATCCTTTCTCCACAGCATCCACCTCCAGCTCTAAGAATTGTCCATCCAGGAATTCCGACGGCGCGTCTGCATCGACGAGCATTGTCAACTCGCGGAACCCCTGTTCGCGTTTATTGATGAGCACGACTGCGAGGGCCAACAGCATGTTCATGTCTGCCGCGTTGTCGTCGCCATACTTGGGTATAATTTCCCCGGCGATTTCGTTGCAACCCAGAACCAGCTTTTTGAGCGCAACGAGGGATTCAACGGAAATGGTGAAGAACACAGTTGCGCACGAACGTGTGGGGCTCCACAGCTCCAACACCTGGAGACAGGCGTACAGGCCGCTGTCGGCAGACAGGGATATGCGGGTCAGTTGGCAGAGCATTGGTCGGATGACGAGTTGGTGCAGCTTGGCCGGCTGACTGCGCTGAAGAAATTGGTCGATGGTTTCTTGCTCGTAGTCGTCGCAATCCAAGAGCTCCAGTCTCTTTAAACCTGGCAGTGTGAGGTATGCAAGCGTGTGTCGTCCGTCAGGAATGTTGACCAAGTCTATATCCAAACTTTCTTTCAACACAAGTGTCTCTAACTTGTGCTGTGGGGCAAGCGGTGCTAGCATCTCACGGGCCTCGCCTTCTGATGTCGAATCGTCAAACTCGATGTTACAGCTGACGAGGTTGGACATCTTTGGAAAAACAAGCGCGAAGCCGGTCGAGGTCAGCTCGCCGGTGAATGAGCGAATTTGGTGCCAAGGCAGGCTAATATCGGAGGGCGGAATGCGAATTATACCGACGCTGGAAAGTTTTGGTGCGGATTTGAACGGGGTGATCGCGCAGTGAGTATGAGTGTAGCGTGTTGTGCCCGTGTGTGTGACCACAAGGCTTTCGAGAGCGGGGAAATCGGTCGCGGCGAGGGCGTTACCGATGGCCTCAATGTCGGTGATGTGAAGCTCGATTTCAAGGCGAACGATACGAGGCGCAAGTATTTGCAACGAAGCAACAAAGTTCGCGAATTCAATCGGCGCAGTATACTCATTGAACCACCCAAACCCGCCTTCGCTCTGCCCGGGTGTAGCTTGTGGACCAAGAGAAACGCGAATTGAAATCTGCTGGCTGAGTGCCCTGCTTGCCCATGCATCGACAATTACCGACGGGGACTTGCCTCTGACATCATCCGGAATAAAAACAGGAATATTGCACCATAATGCTTGAGTATTGAGCGCAATGTATCGCCATTGTCGACAAATCTGGAGCAACAGAGTTGGTGCACTGCGCGCTTTCGATTCTGCCAAGTCCCAGTCCGGTAAGCAGGCTAAGAACACCATGGCCGTGAGCTCTGCAGGAAAGCGAAGAATTGACATGGTGGTTGTGAGAAGAAAAAAAGCTACACGCCAATGATCCGACTTTCGTTATTCGGTCCAAAAAAATACGTAGCTTCACGAAAGCAATGTCGATTGCAAGTGGTAATACATTTGTTTGGTTTAATACGGTGGCAGCTTGACCCAATCGAAGCCCAAAAGAGTCATCATACGCGGGGTCCACCTCGGTCGTTGTTGCCACGGGAAACGTTCGAACCCGTAAATGTGGACGATGTAACGCCGTCTGTGCTCTGCTCGCGACCCTTCTCCAGAATAATGGTTACGACGTCGACATCTTTGTGTGTCTCGAATACCGTGTCGAGTTGTTGATTTGAAGGCTTTCCGAGGACACCTTGGGCGCCCTGGGTCGACACGAAGACTTGGAAGGCTGAAGTCAATTAGCATGGAACAAGCCCGATAGACAGACAGAGACGGACAGTCGACGACATCCGCAAGTGGGATTGACCTAGCGCCAGATCAGAGTGCGGCACGCGAGTGAAAGAAACATAAATACTTGTCTGAAAAGTGGTCAGATTTACGATCGTCAACGATCCGAGCTAGACGTACCACCAGCTTTCCATTTCTTGAACTGTGAACAAGAGGAGGTCAGGTATTTTAGGGATTAACGAACGATGGGACTTGCCGATTCGGTGTTTACAACTACCGTAAACTCTTCCGTAGATTGGGAGTCAGGCTTGTAGATAACTTTGCTGGTGGCAGGCATGGTATGAGGGGGTGGTGGTGTTTGGTTGTGTGTTGGAGGTATGAGTTAGGTTGTGCGCTTCCGAAAGAAGGCTTAAGTAGGGGGGAGGTGGCAGTGCACCCATGATGCAATTGACGTCACGCGAAAAAAATTGCTCCAGACTCGGAGCCAGAAACAGACGTGTCCCGGTGGTGAAACACGTTCTATGGACCTGCTATGGGCCGTGGAGAGCCTCCAGGAGCTTCTATGGTGGATTCTCGGCCATAGGAAAAGCCCTGCACAACGAAACTGGGAAAAGCATAGTAGACGAGGGTGGCGCTAGCCAAGATAGCATATAGAAAGTAGTGTCGACTTCACACACTAGACCAGAGCTTGCCAGTTACCAATGGTTTGCGTTGTCCTCATGAGCGATCAATAACTAAAGATTATTATCAATCATCCACTTGCCCTCCATCAACTCACACTCACTTCAAAAAAAGATGCCTCCGGACAAGTACGAACCTCAGCTCCACCTTTAACCCTTCTTTAAAACTCTGCTAGAGGCAAGAAACGTGCTCGGGATGAGGACGTTGAGTCCAGCCGCTCAGAATCACCACTCACAGACCTGCCTGATGAGGAGCCAGGTCCTGCTCGAAAATGTCCCACTTTTTGTCTTCCAATCGCACGCGCACGCTTTCTGACGCAGAGATGCAGACCGCCGCCAACGAGAAACCCGCGAATGTCCGGTCTGCAATGAACGAATCCCGACTCATTTGTTGGCGGCCCATGCTGACCTGGAAGCCGAACGAGTGGAAGCTATAGTTCGACGCATAGGCGAGACAGATATTGACATTGAGCTGCTGGATGCTCTTGAAGCAATGACAGAGGAGTACGATAATCGTCGTCTTATGTGCGCTTGATAACTAACGTTTTCCCAGTTCCACCATCGCAATATTAACCCGAGCGCGCATACGAACCCGACAGTCCAGAGGCAACGCTCAGACTCCAACAGAGACAGACCGTGATCTTGTCGCAGAAGCATCGCACAAAATTCAAGCAATAAAACGGCACCGCAAACAACGTAACATAAAACTCAAAGAGCTGATCCGGGGAGACGAAGCTCCTTCGAGCAGTCATGCCTCGTCGTCGCGACTGCGGGAAACTTGGAGAAGACGGGGAACAACAGGCGGAGGAGCATGCGAAATTGTTTGCCCAATTTGTTTGGTTTCAGTGAGAGGAGATACCGATGTCCTGGATGCGCATGTGGACGCCTGTTTGGCGGATCAAGCCAGGAGACTTGAAGAGCAGAGAAGAGAGCAAATGTCGGATCGAAGGGCTGCAAGAAGAGTTGAGCGCAGCCTTGATGTCATGGTAGTTGACGAAGCCGACGGCCCTGGCCATGTTGGTGATGTCCGGGGTTCTTACTTTGCTTCTGCTTTTACCACGCAGTTTGACGAGAAGAACAGGCACCGGTTTTGCAACCCGGGATCCAAACGCTCAGGATATCGATGATGAAATCGACATTGACGGAGACGATGAAGAGGTTTTTGGTGGTATCCAATTTACTGAACGCGACGTTGTGAATGCGTTCCCAGCAACAGAACGAATACGTCCCACTGAGGATGGCGAGGATATGGAGGTGGACATAGACGGGGACGGAGAAGAGACTCTGCGTGAGCTCGTCGCTCAAGGAAAAGTGATCAAGCGGGACCGACCAGCCCAACAGGTTCTGGATAGTCACCGGCAGACGTGTGACGAGGTGGACAAACTTGAGCTGGCTATTTTGACAGCGAAGAGTCGCGGCGACCAGGCATCACTCATTGGGCTACTTCAAAGCAAGATTAAACTTCTCGTGCGTTGTCCGTGATGTTTTCCAAGTCTCGCTGAGATAAAGAATCATAGGAATCTCGCACCCCTTCCGTTTGCCGCATCTGTATCGAAGCTTACACCGACCCCACGGTTTCGACGGGTTGCTGGCATACCTGTTGCAAAGAATGCTGGCTCCGCTGCCTTGGCTCGACAAAACTATGCCCAATATGCAAGCGGATAACCGCCGCCACAGATCTAAGGAGGATATATTTGTAATTTCTCGCACTTTCATCATTGCATGTTACAGTACCACACAGAACAATCAAAACAGATCCGAACACAACACTCCATCGCCGACAAAGCACCACGAGCTTAGGCCTCACTACGAACATGTTTTATAAGGACCCCTCCTTGCCGCAAAAAACTCAAAACTTACGGGAGTTGGGTCGGGTAAATATTGAAGGCACCAATCTGACGCTTCCCTTCCGTATCCGCGTTTCTGAAGATGAGCATGAATGCGGATCGCCTATAACATCGAGGGCCTACGGAAGCAGAGTCGGGTAGATGTTGAACGCCCCGATCTGGCGCTCCTCAACGGGCTTTGCGGTGTCTCTGAACATTGTTGTCAGTTCGAGAAGAGCGGCTTGAAGGCGCGTACGGAAGGGGCGTCGGGTATATATTGAAAGCGCCTATCTGGCGCTTCTGGACAGGGGTTGCGTTATCTCTGGCAATGGCCCAGTATCAACTCGGGATGAACAAGGGCTCGAAAGGATCATACGGCAGGAGCGTTGGGTAGATGTTGAAAGCTCCGATCTGGCGCTTCACTGCGGGCTCTAGAATTGCGAGCAAAAGTTATGTTTTGCGAGATTTCGCGACGGCGACTCACCGACAGGGGCTGCGGACACTGTGATGATTTCAGTGGAATGGTCATGGAAGGATCAGTACTAGACCTACCCGAAGCCACGGCTAATGCGAGAGCGACGAACAGGGTGGCAAAGGACTTCATCTTTCTGGCGCTACGTCTTGCCTGTAGTACGCACTGGACTTTATACCATCCGTCGACAGCGTTATTAAAGAGACCGAGTTTGGAACCACGAGTGACGAAAATTGTTAAAATCGATGTCCTTGGAGGAAGGGGTCTTTCATTGGTTACAGATAAGCTCAACTCAGAGGCACCATGCGCGAAGAGCTTGACGCTGACCACAAGTGAATGGCTCGAATGCAGGCGGGTTTTCAACATCACTTCTCGGTGAACGGATATCAGGCAGCGAGTTCGGGATTTTCGTGAGAACAACAACAGAAGTCGGGAATCCTGCCCATTGAGACTCTTTTGTTGTCAAGACGTGGAGTCGCAAAAGATGGAAGAGGCAGGTGACCGTGTTCTGTCCGCGGCCCGAGAATGGTGGGCTATTTTGAGCGCATAATCAATGATAAGATATGGATGTCCTGGTTCCGATGCAAGTTGACAGTTCGGTTCGTCTTTTCAGCTGACCGGTACAAGTCGCTGAGAAGTATGCTGGAGAAGAACTCTTGGTCATACTAAGCGATATTGCCTCGTTTGAGCTAAGAAAGCCATTCCGGTCGATTTCTTTCACATCTGCCAGTGGAAAGCCAACATGGATATTCAATTCGACCAAATACAACATGACAAGAATGATTCACTTCTACTCCTGCACAAGCGTGGGATAGATATTGAACGCGGACTCCGTTGCTTTAGTATGTTAAGAACTGGCACTAATGCGGACGTTTGTAAGGACCGCTTACCGCGAGCTCCCACGAGTTTAGCATCCCTATATGTTTATGTTAGGACAACAACATAGAAATCGGATAGAAGATGACTTACGGAGCGAGAGTTGGGTACAAATTGAACGGCTTGTTTTCTAAGTACGAAAAAATTAGTTAACTTGCCGATGGTTGACTGCATAGCTAATATTCTGCTCACCACGCTCCTGGACACGCGTACCTTCGCTAGACAAACCATAAGGATCCTTACAAGATAAATGAGCGGCGACACATACGGCGCCAAGGTCGGATAAACATTGAAAGGCTTGTTTGCTGAGCAAGGTTTAGTGAGAGACCTGAAACGCTCAATGTGGACGAGCTTACCGCGCTCTTCAACACGCGTACCATCGCTATGCAGACTATGGAGCTTCTGATATCATGGAACATGGATGCTTACGGCGCGAGCGTTGGATACACATTGAAAGGCTTGTTGGCTGACAAGAATTCCAGCTATCTCGGGTATCAAGAGAGACTGGATTTGCTCACCGCGCTGCTCAACTGGCGCACCTTCGCTGTAACAATGGTCGATACTAGTATCAATCCCAACAACAGCAGCTTACGGTGCCAAAGTGGGGTAGAGGTTGAAAGGTTTATTTTCTACAGGTAAAGGATCAGTGCCCATATCAAGACTTGTTTATTTCTCACTCACCACGTTGTTCGACCGGTGCACCTTCACTGAAGCGGAAATTGATTTCAGCACCAAGCTCTTACAAAGCAAAGCACTTACGGCGCCAAGGTTGGGTAGACGTTGAAAGGCTTGACACCTAGATATTGTGTTAGTTCAATATCCCACTTTCAACTATATTCGACCCACCACGTTGCTCTACTGGCTCGCCGTCGCTGGATGAACAGTTTATCGACGCAACACGGTGCAATACCGGGGCCTTACGGTGCCAAAGTAGGGTAGAGGTTGAAAGGCTTGTTCGCTGCGAGGACGGTGAGCCGAGGCTTGATTATCTTGGAGGCAAGCCTACCACGCTGCTCAACGGGTGCACCTTCGCTGGAGAGACGTTAGTCAAGGTTTTGATACCCGTTCAACGCTTGCTCACGGAGCCAGAGTCGGGTAAACATTGAATGGCTTATTGCCTGCACAAAATTTAGTTGTTTTTAGATGTAGTACCGCGATAGGTTGCTAACCACGACGTTCTACGGAGCAGGTAAGATAATTGAGAAAATCTCGAGAAAATTATCCAGGAGCGTACCGACTGCGAGACCAGATACTACGAAAAGATTAGTGGCAGCTAATGAAATATGAACAATTAGAAACCTGAAGCAAAGACCACTGCGAGGCTGATGAAAAGAGCAAGCGAGGACTTCATTCTTCAAGTTCTGGATAGGTGACTGCGAACTGAGGACCTGTAGTTCTTCTGTGCTTGCTTTATAGCAGACTTGCGGTCGCTTCTGACGATTCGATGAACCGTCGACCACGGGCCATGCCGTTTAGGAAAGCTGAATGGAATGTGAAGAGCTGGCCCTCATACAGCGCTCAGAGGAGTAAGCGCAGGCAGCCATTGGCTAGAGATTGTGCCGAATTTGGGTGTAGTGTATTGAGTTGAAAGCGTGCAATTAGAAGAGGCCAGTAGCCATGCGCAAAAGTTTGTCGAAGACCGTCAAGGCGAGCAGCTTGACACGAGCCTGGCAGTATTGCCATCTTCCCAGCTTGATGTTCAAGTTGGCCGCCGCCGTTCAATGTACCTTTTCGCGAAGAGAACCTCAAATTGAATGCGCAAACAATGGAACGAAATCTAACTTGACGAGTGGTAGTGCTTAGAGTTGTCATGGTTGGGCCGTTAGCGGGGCCGTACGCATCGCGGTGACCGCGCGCAATTCTCCAGGTTGATGACATGGGGTCCTGGTTGAGGCAGATTGAAAGCGTGCAGTTTCAAGTTCAAACGTTCAAGGTCGCTTGACAGATGGGTCCAGCGTGACAAGTCACTCTTGTCACGCGGTTGGTCAGGGTTGGTCCTTGCATGAACAACACCTCACAAGAATCATCGAAACCCAAAGGCTACGCACCCATCGGATAGTTGTGGCATAAAGTACTCTAGTAAGTCACTATGAGGCTGCGCGCACCAACGGAAGTCCCGGGGACTGTGGAGACCAGTTCCAGTCGGCGTTCCAAATTCGCAATGCGGTCTTCGATTTGGACTTGGGCTAGAAGTGAAGTGTCGAACTTCGTTGTATCTTTTGTTGCCACCGTCAACCAGTTCTGCGGTCTCAACGGACCAACAAGCAAGTGACGGAATTGCGCAACTCAACTACGTTGTCTCGTCGAAGAATCCTGGACGTCAAGGGATAAGCTGACATTCGCCTCATTGGGAAACAATCGTCTGAAATGGGAGACCAGAAAACAGAACTTTCGAAGGTATCGGGACCGAAATAGCTCAGGTGAGTTGAAATCGTCTGTAGGATTACTCAAAGCTAATCGCGGTGCTACACTGTAGCATCTTCGCCTATAGTTCTGGCTCGACTCTCGCCCAACTCTCACCCAACCTATCTCTGCTCGAATAAGCACTGGACTGCACCCCTGTTGAGTTATGAAATCATCAGAGAAGCGCGGAAGTACTTCCTCGGAACCGCACGAGTGCAATCCTGATAGACCTTTCTTTGATCTGTCGAGACACCAGCGCTCGTGCAGCCTTCTATTTGATCGACCCCGGACTCAATCGCATCCCGATATCGAGATGAATACCTTCGAGGCTTTCCCGCGTCGGCTCAATTTCACGTTTCTCGTGACTATTCTTGCAGCTAACTTTCCCATTAATATCAGCTGGTCCCTGTCACCTCCTGCGACGCGGATGCCATGCCTGAAGCCCCGTATACTCCCCTTTACGAGTCTGAGGAGGCCAAGCTACTCGCTGACCCAGAAGAACTACAGCCAGTCCGGTTTCAACATGTGCTCGACCAGACGTCCACTCGGCGACAACTCCAACTGAAGCTTTTGCTTATCGCATCTCTTTTATTCAACTTAATCTGCGTTGGGCTTTTCTTTGCGTGGCGGGGGTCTCAGCGTGCAGCTCCAACTGGCGTCATTTACTGTACGAGGTTCAATGAAATGTTTCCCTCTGTTATCTTACATTCTTTTTAGCTCCTGCCCAATCCGCTATCGAATATAAGCTAGTTCAGTTCACCAAGGGCTTTGACCTCGATCGTCCGGGAGGCATTCCAATATACGACGAAGAGCCTTCTGATGAAGGAGATGCAGCGTGGGAAGAGCTCTACGCCAGTAAGTCCTGGCTTGCTCTTTGCACGAAAGCGATGTTGAAGCGAATATTAATCATCAGGGCCCGAGATCCGTGTGCCCAAGTCGGAAGCGAGGAAAATGTACAATGCGACGTTCCCAATCGAGAACGATCCAGGCTACTACTTCCTGTCCCTGGAGGTCTTCCACCAGCTTCACTGTCTGGTGCGTGTCCATTAGATGAGGAGTCTGTAACTAAAGCATTAATCAATGGACAGGACAAAATTCGTCATCAACTTAATCCAGAACGAGGCTATGAAATGCTCCCCGCCGACCATATCCGCCACTGCTTCGGTGCTATTCGACAGGCGCTTATGGTACGCGACCCCCCCTTTTATCATCTGTCGACTAACTCGTTTCAATCAGTGCTATGGTGATGTGACACCGGTGGTGTTCCAATGGTCAGAGGTCTTCAAGCAAGTTGTTCAGAGGGATGATATTACGCATGAGTGTCGTGATTACAGTAAGATCAGGGCGTGGGCAGACGAGCATCAGAGGGTCGGGCCTGAACCTGACTTCACAGTGTATGTCGATCCAGACTTGGATTGAGTTGAGTCCGCTATCGGGCCTTGATGTCCAAATGCCTGACAAGTTATAACACTGCTCAACTACTTGTGTTTTCTCCGACTTGGAAAGCGAAGTGTCAAGCGATCTTATATTTGCGGACCTTTCTCTGACAGGTAAGTCTTCGATACAACAAAACTGCAGAAGATAAGATAGGATGGATCTAGATAAGATAAGCTGTTCGGTTGTTGCACGTGAAAGTTCCTATTTTGTCGCCTTGTGCAGATCTTGCGCGGAAACCACCACATCGTCGCTTGTGTCTCTTTTTGTGACTACGAGGATGGAGGACCTCATAACCATGACGCGGGTCTCCGTCTTTGGGTCCAGCAACCGCGGTGGCCTCCCCCTTTGAACCGGCCCGTGACATGCCGTCGTTGGCAGGCAAAGTTATTCTCGTCACTGGTGGGGCAAACGGGCTGGGCCGCGAAGCCGTGCTCGAGTTCGCACGGCACGACGCAGAGAAGGTCTATATTCTGGACTTACCCAGGCCAGATCACGGTCAAGGCTTGATTGAAGAGCTGTACGAGTTGGTGCCGAATGCGATTGGAAAGCTGCGGTTTGTTGGCGTCGATCTGGGCTCATTTGACTCGGTGAGGAGGGCTGTGGCGCGCTTCAGCGACATGGAGGAGCGGCTGGACGTTTGCCTGCTGAATGCGGGGGTTATGCCTGTCAAGCCAGGAACGACGAATGAAGGGCTTGAGTTGGCATTCGGAATCAACTATGTTGGCCATTGTTTGCTCTCAAAGTTGCTCATGCCGCTTCTCACAAGGACAGCGGAGCTGCCTGCGACAGATGTGAGGCTGGTGTTCGTTTCGAGCGAGGGCCACAAGATGAATCCGAAGGGAGGGATTGCCTTTGACAAGCTGAAGACCAATGGTCAAGACATGGTGAGTGTGTGCGCTGAGTTCTTGCTCGCAACGCTGATCACTTTCGACAGAAATATTATCACCGCTACGGACAGAGCAAACTGGCAATCAACCTTTACATGCGTGAACTTGCTGCTCAACACCCGCAAATCAAGATCGTCGCAGTGCACCCGGGGCGGCTTAATCAGACAAGACTGACGGACCAGTTGGCGAAGGACACGTTGCTTGTGTGGATATCGCAGCCGCTCAGTCCATTGGTGACGGTGTCGCCGATAGTGGGTGTGAAGAACTGTCTTTGGGCGACGACTGCTGAGGGAGTGGTCACTGGGAAGTATTATGAGCCTGTTGGGGTGCCAGATCGAGAGTCGGCGCTATGCAGGGACGATGGATTGGCCAGAAGATTGAGAGAGTGGACCAAAGAGGTGTTAGGTAATGATATGTAATTATTCTAAGCTGACTTCAAGCCTCCATTTGTTCAATTCAGAATTGTTTCAGTTCCGGCATTGAGCACGGATCAGAAATATTAAAGCGCCGCTCGAAGTGGCAACTGTATATGATGTGACACCCGTTAATTTTTACTCCCCACATCAAGACCCAGCGGACGAAGACTTTGTTTTTCTATAAATCTATCTCCCAAGTGCGTTTTGCGCTCTTATTGCTGGACGGGCGACTGACTAGAGGCAGAATGTCTGACGCTGGAGATGATATCGTTGTCGACGCCCCGGTTGAGGAGGTCGAAGTTGCCCAGGAAGCTCCCAAGGGCAAGCTCTCAGTAGAGGAGGCTCTTCAAGTGTGTTATTCTTCATTTCTCTCACCGATTCTTGCTTACTTCTCTCTCTCTATAGCAAGTTCTGAAGAACGCGCTTGTCCACGACGGTCTTGCTCGTGGACTCCGTGAATGTGCCAAAGCACTCGACAAGCGACAGGCGCATCTGTGTGTTCTTGTTGAGACCAACACCGAGGCTGCCTACATCAAGCTTATCGAAGCTCTTTGCGCTGAGCACAAAATCAACCTCATCAAGGTTGGCGACGCGAAGGTGCTCGGAACCTGGGCTGGTCTCTGCAAAATCGATCGCGAGGGTGTCGCACGCAAGATCGTTGGCTGCAGCTGTGTCGTCGTAAAGGAATACGGTGTTGAAAGCGAGGGCCTACATGTCCTCCTCGACTACTTCAAGAACCGATAAAAAACAATCGAAAACTGTGAGTTATCGTCCTGCCTTGTTTCCCTTCTTGTGGGATGTACAAACAGTCTCCCTCGACTGAGGATCCGTCCTCCGACGAAAACCACGTATCCGGAATCATTATATACGCTGTCTGACCTTTTTCTTTTTTCTTCTGTCCTTTTTCCAGTAGTTGACGCTTCCGAATAGGTGACACATGTTGTGGATGTACTATTGCCTGCAACGTGTGCTATGTAGTAGTAATCGACTTGCTGCTATCTCGTCCTTCGAAAGAGTGCTGTTGAAAGTATCTTCAATGACCCCCCGCTGTCCTCTTTCCCTCCGCCTGATGACGCGTTCTTGTCGTCTGAATCTTTCGACCTTTGCTACCTACCTATCGTGGTTAATTTATCTTTTTTATCTACGACCTCCTAGCGTTCCGTTTGCTGTGAGGATTGACATGCACTGTCCCCTGTCATGTCTATATGAGCGCAATCTAGGGATGGCGAAAGAGGGTTGGGGTCAATTGACGTGCGCAATGCGAAAAAGATGGAAGGCGGCATAAATGAGCCGTGGTCACGCGTTTGCAAGCCCTTTCCTTTCGTCCTCCGTCAATAATGGCCTCCGAGCCAGCCTCTCCCCCGCTCGCCTCCTGGCGGTGAGTCGCGCCAAATGCTGCCGCTCTCTCCCACCCAGGCCACTCCTTTCCTTCCCTCCGACATGCCCGCCACGACCCCCACCCGCAACTCTTCTTTCGTCTCCTCACCACTCAACCCGACACCTAGCCCTGCCCCATTCCGCTCAGTGTCGCGAGGTAGCAGCATGAACATTCCTGGGCCAAGTCGACTGCCCTCCGACGAGTCCACAATTGGCCTTCACCCCAACTCTGGCCCTTACCCCTTTGCGCGGGAAAGCCAATACGGTGGAGGATCGATACGAGGCAGTATGATACTCTATCGTCTCGCTGACGAGCCTGACAGAGGGAGCACAATACTGGCCCCACCACGGGCCCTGGGAAGCGGAAACCGAGATAGTGTTGCCTCGTTCGCTTCGCAAGCGTCACTGCCCAGCGATTCCAAATATCCTTCGGGTTTCAACACAACTCGTGGTTTGGTACCTTACGCTTACGATCCCGCCCTTGACGAGCTCGACCCACCAGACGACGAAGACTTCCTCCATGATCCGTCTTACAAGGGGGGTAAGAATGGCTACCAGGGGCCGTCAAATTTCAGGCGCCGACGCTTCTTCCCCTGGCGCGGGATAGCGAACATCAGTATGCTCCTTCTCGTCATCGGCGCCATTCTCGCCCTCTTCATAACCTATCCGGTGGTCTCGTTCTTTCGCGAAGAACCTGTGATCTCGTTGATTGACGGCAACATACGGGTGAACAAGACCGGTCAAGTCGCGGTGTTGCCGAATTTACCAACACTCATTGACCCCGCAACTCCGAACGACGCGCTCTCACGGAAGGGTTTTGATGGGAAAAGCTATTCGTTGGTGTTCAGCGACGAGTTCAACACTGATGGAAGGACATTCTACCCGGGCGACGATCCATATTGGGAGGCCGTGGATTTGTGGTATGGAAATACGAACGACCTCGAATGGTATGACCCCTCCCAAGTCGTCACCCGCGATGGGAACCTTGTCATCACCATGGACTCTGCGGACAGCACACAGTCGGGGCAGAGTGTTGGTTCAACTGCGCCATTTACCATTGCGGAAAACCACAACCTACAGTACAGGAGTGGGATGGTCCAGTCGTGGAACAAGTTCTGCTTCACAAGAGGGTATATCGAGGTCGCCGTTGTGCTTCCTGGGCCGAATGCCAACACCAAGGGTTATTGGCCTGGTGTTTGGACGATGGGAAACCTTGCAAGACCGGGATACACTGCGACCACTGACGGAACATGGCCCTACACTTACTCGTCGTGTGATGTTGGGACTTTCCCGAATCAGACATTGGCGGATGGGTCGGGACCGGCTGCTGCTTTGAAGACCGAGGCGGGCAGCGCCAAGTATAACAACGAGTTGAGTTGGCTGAGCGGACAGAAACTTTCGTATGTCATATTCTCTGCGCCTTGGCGATGGAGCTGATAATATAATTGCAGTGCTTGTTCGTGCCCTGGGTCAGACCACCCTGGTCCAGACGTCACTGTCGGTCGTGGCGCGCCGGAAATCGATATCTTCGAAGCTGAGGTCAACAAGACCAACTCTATCGGCCAAGTCGTGTCCCAGTCAGCTCAGTTCGCGCCGTTTACCCATGACTACAACTATCTGACGCAAACAACCGACCAATGGAATATCTTCAACACTGGCATCTCCCGGCCAAACGGTTACAAGGGCAGCGCGGTACAACAGGCTGTTTCTGGATTGACGAATGTACCGGGTGAGGGCTTCCAGGGGAGCGGGAAGAAGTTCATCAAGTATGGATTCGAGTATTGGAGTGACCCGAAGGATCCATCGAGTGGGTTTATCACATGGCAAGTGGATGGGACGCCAAGTATTCGGATGGGTGCAGGTGCGGTTGGACCAGACCAAGGTTCTGGTGGAAGTGGAGTTGGTCAGCGGTTGATTCCTGTCGAGCCGATGTCGATTATCTTGAATTTGGGTATATCCAGTGCGTGTCTTTTTGTTCTCTTCTTGAGCTTGCTGATAAGGAAACATTGTAGAAAACTGGGAAACGCCGGACTTGTCGACGATGGTATTCCCGGCTGAAATGCTGATCGACTATGTGCGCGTGTATCAACGCGATGGTGAGATGAACGTCGGGTGTGACCCCAAGGACTATCCGACCATGGATTACATCAGGAACCATCTGCCAGCGTATTCAAGTGGGTCTCATTCGTGTTTTGCTTTCCTCTTGGCTGAATCGTGATCTGCAGATGCGAATACGACGACATGGGCTTGGGAGAAACCCAAAAATTCTCTCTACCATGGCACGTGCTAATGATGAATCAATGACCGCCCGTCCTGCTCATCTGACGACTCCATACGACGACCTCAGCATGGTGTATAGATGCCTTGCCCTCCCTCCCTCCTCCTCCTCCTACATTACCCTTGGTCGTAATACCCTTGGCCTCTATCTTATTCCATCACTTTTGCTGGCATTGCATCCACGTCACAATGGTACCTCGGTATCTTATTTGCCGCCGCGCCCGCTTCGTTCATCCCGCTCGCTTTCTACTTTTCTATCACGGACACTCGGCACGGACTGTGTTTGGATTTCTTTCTCCATTACTAGTACTTATATCTCATGTTTCTTTCTGATGTACGTTTTACGCTTACGCTCTCCCGTTAGTCTTTGGGTAGCTAGACGACGAAGCCAATGGAATAGGCAATCACAAAAACATTGGATAACAAACCTGAGTTGTAGGTGGAGAACAAGTATAAGGTGCTAGAGTCGTAAATGTTGCGTCGCATGTTGCATTAGATCATTAGTGATCATTAATTAAGTTCGGCGTCTAGCGCGAGGAAGAGGGGGAAGGAGAAGGAGAAAGAAACAGTGATTCCCAAATCGGTTTCGCAGCTTGTAAGCTTAGCGGACCCGGGGGGAGGAGGGCAAGTGGGTCAACGACCGGCGTAAAGAGCGGAAGCATGTGGGCAGTGATCAGCCACATCTGTGAACAGGCTCAGTTGCGGAGCGGAAATGGAAGCGGGAGAGAACAGACGTTGTACCACCAGTACGCCTTGCCGTCGAGCTTCTCGCGGTGGATGTCGTCGCGAGCGGCGATGTTCTTGACGAAACGCATGCTCGTGACGCTGGCGAGCGCTGCGAGGAGAGCGATAACCGGGGGTGGTGGGAGCCAGAGGGCGGCCAAGGCGGTCGTCCAGAGGATGATTGATGCGGAGAGCGACCAGCGGGCGAGGGCGGGCGGGAGCAGCATCGGGAGGGTGACGCGGCCAATGGCGGCGTCCCCCGAGAGATCGCGGAAGTCTTGGGCATGGCCCTACAACTGGTTTAACCCGAGTAGAAGGTGGAGGTAAATAACGGACTGTCGTGACATGGAGGAGAAAGCTACACGTGATGGCGACGATGGAGGTTACGGAGAGTGCATTTCCGTGATCTAACGCGTCGTTAAATGGACCCTCGACGCGTCTAGTAACATACCAAAGATGGATGTCGTGCCCCAGCAATACACTGCGTACCCGATAGCCCCGAGGAATGACTTGAAGAACCAGTGACGGGACATCTGGAGCTCGTTGTAGCATACGATTGCGATCATATAGATGGTGCTGCAGAGCAAGAGGCCGTGATATACGCTCCAGACAACCGAGAGGATGCCGACGAGGATGTAGAGTCGCTGGGCCCAGAAAACAGTTAGGCGACCGGCGGCGATGGGGCGGTCTGGTTTCGAGAGGCGGTCTTCTTCCAATCCTGTAATCTAGAGCAAAAGTGAAGTAGCAGGGTCGGAACTCGGATTAGATGATCAAAGACTAACTTGGTTCTTGATCTGCGTCAAGATATCAGAGAGAGGTTCGGGCAGAGGCCGATCGAGGGTTGAACGAACCTCGAATGTCAGTAGGTGAAGCTCGAGCCAGGCGAAGCCCATGATAAACGAGTAGATGTCGGTGGGGCCAGCGAGAACCATAGCAACCGCGAGCTTCAGTGCATCAGAATAAGTACGAACGCGAGTGGGGGAAAGGCGAACCGAAGGACCCAGAATCGGTATGACGTCGGACTTGCTGAACAGGAGTAGGGTCTTGAGGAAATGTACAGGCATCGCGAAGAAGGGAAAGAAAGAAGAAGTGGAAAATATACAAGAGACAGGCAAAGAACTGACCTGGAACTGGAAGACGCATCACGCAAAGTCTGTGGCGATAAATAGTGCAGTCAGGGTAGCCTTAGCCTGAGATCCCGCCGCCTCGCAGCGAACAGACAACTGTTGGACACAGCGCTTGTTTTGGGAAATTTCCAAGTTGACGCTTTCGGTGCGGGATCCGAGGGCATACCCGGACGTCAGGATTGTTCAGGGTAAGCAAAAGACAGCGCGAACACTGCACCCGATACGCCGGCTGAGACTAATCGAGGTCGTGACCATGTCACGTATCACGCGTTCGACTTTTCTTGGTGCGGCTTTTTCCAGTCGTGTTGCCACCTCTTGCTGACGTCTTCATCCAGCAGATAGAATTTAGGGTGTTAATTTACCTGCGGCGCTTGATTCAGATATCTTGTAGCCTCGCTGGCTCTGTTTCACCACTCGTTGACAGCATGAACTTGGTGGACTTGAACGTTTGAACTTGAAAAGCATCGAAAGACCAAAGGCTGGTATCTTACAAGTTGAGCATTTTAAAAGTTCCGAGTCCGTGTTCTGATAAACGCTGTCTTCTTTCAGATAACCTCACCTGCGGAAATGCGAATCAAGAACCATGTCTGCCTGACTAGCGAAGGGGTCTGAGCTCGAAGGGGGGCTCTCAAAATGAAGGGATAATTGTACTGCCGTGATGAAGCTGGGCGAAGGAAACCCACTTCTTTGCGTTCTTTATGTCACCCCATCTCTCTTTCTTTCCCTTCAACAGGATCGCGATGCCATCGAGCAAACCTGAGGGCCAGCAGGCGTCATGCATTCTCAAGTTTGTCGTCGTGGGCGGGGGAATTACGGGCCTTGCGACCGCGTATTCGCTCCGTACCGCCGGCCACGATGTTGTGGTTGTGGAGAAGCGAAACCTTACGCAGCCGGTAAGTTAATGGCTCGTGCTGATTGTGGTAAAACAAAGGACTGACGCGCTCTCAGACGCAAGGGAGCATCCGCTGCCCGCCTAACATGACGCGGGTCCTCTCTCGATGGCCAGGCATGGACAGCTTCTTGTTCAATTCTGCGTCCGAAGTCTCTGGGTACGTGACCCCGTATCGTTTGAATTGTCCTGAGGCTTATACTAGCATCACCAGCCTGTCGTTCCGTATCGGTATGTCTTGGTATCAACTATTATCATCGCTCATAATGGATAGGCGAGACATCAGAAACGGTCGGGTCCATGAAATTCTACCACGAAATCATGGAACAGCTCGGCGCAGACTTCTTGGTGCTGCAGGTATGTCCATAAACAGTGCGCTCTTCAACTTGATCATATCATTATAGCACAATGACCTGCAGCGAGAAATCTTATCGCTTTGCATTGCGTCTGGAGTCGAAATGGTTTGCGGGACTGTCGTTGACGTGGTGGTCCCAGAAGACGCAGGCGATTTCTCGGTCAATATTGTCTTGGAGGATGGAGGAATCATCCATGGAAATATTGTGCGCATTCAGTTTTACCTGATAGTGCCAGCTAACACCACCAAGGCCATTGGGGCTGACGGTCACAATAGTCTTCTGCGCTCGTTCGTCACGGCGGAAGAGTCTTTCGCGAACGACACAAGGATTGTTACGGGGTATTCCAACCGCTTGAAACTGCCACTCGCTGTTGGACTTACTTATGACCAGAGTTGACATCGCCATTCCGACAAAAGCCCTGCTCGAACATGAGCATCTTGCATCTCTCTGCGAGGAACAACAGGTTTGTCTCCGTTCTCGGTCTCCGTTCTCTCTGCTGATGTTGATGCTCCGTCCAGTTTACGATCTGGATGGGTTCCGGGTCCAGCATTACCGCGGTACTCGATGTAGGACGGGTTTTCTCTCTTTTCGACCGTCATTGACACTCGGCTACAGAAAAGCTGTGAATTCATGAATCTGGGGATCTGCACTCCCATGCCGATCGAAAACGAACGGCCGCTCGCTGATGGGCAAGACCTCAATGCCATATCCGACGACTGGAGCGAAACATCACAACTTCCCATTGACATATCGGCTTACGATCCAAGGTGAGTTTGGTCCCGGGACTGTCCTTCTAAATAACCTTGACTCGTTTATAGACTTCATGCAGCAATCCAACTGCGGACAAGTATGCGGTTAACGAAGCAACGCGTCCTGAGTCAAGAGGATGCAGTCAACCCCGACGGGACTGTCATACTCGTTGGTGATGCTGCTCATTCAGTCCTGGTAAGTCCATCGTGTTTTCGCCCTTCAGTTCCTATTAATATGCTATGTGCAGATCCATGGAAGCCACAACACGTCAATGGGGGTGAGCTCTATCTTGCTTCTCAACAACTTCTCAATCAATCTAAACTATACTCAGATCGAAGATGCCGTTACCTTGGGCGCGCTGTTCTCTCACCTCCAGAACCGCAAAGAAATCGCCGTTTTCCTTGAAACATACGAAGAGCTGCGCCAGAACCGCGTCCAGGCAGCGGGCGAGTCAGAGTACCAGTCGCTGCTGATGATCTGTCTTCCTCCTGGACCCGAGCGCGATGGGCGCGACGAGACGCTGAAGCTGACTAAAGACCGCGAGTTTGAAGATTTCGACAACTGTGACCCGGAGTCGGATGTGTTGGTGCAGACATGGGAGCAGTACCTGATGTTGTTCAACTACGATGCGAAGGCAAGTTGCACCATATCGTCTCTCTATCTGACATTGCATGCTAATGCAGAGCTGCAGGAGGCTGTGGATGATTGGTGGTCGATGTGGTCGTTCACGATGCAGTAAATGAACGCGCAACTGACTGGAGTGTGTGGTGCAAAAGGAAGTTACCATGTATATATAATCATATCTGACTTGTATCCGTAGTACAGCGGGAATTGCTTGAATGTCACAACACGTGTCTGTGACCACTCGCGTTTTCTTCTTAAGCCATCTAACCTTGCCTTCTGGCAAGGTCCTCCATATTAAACATAGGTAAACAACTGTAACAGCCCGATGATTGATCGGCATATTTCGGTCAATTGCAACCTACAATTGATAATCACCGAGCCAGGCAGCCCTCCTATAGTTTTGTCTATTCTATGCTAAACATTTGAGTGCTTATTACAAAAACATCACTTCCGTAGATCCTGCTCCTGGTTATCTTAGTCTTATCTGTGCTAAATTATATTTACACAAAGGGAGAGACTCTAAGAAAGAGGGTTTCACTCCATTTTTATCTTGCTGGCCAGTGGCAATGCCTGGCATGCTCAGTTGTGAGTCTTTGCTTTTTGTCATTGGTAAGTCATTTTTTATCATGTTGTCTCTGTGAATATTTATGCTCCAGTGCACGTACTCACCAGGGTACGTGCCGGCGCAAGCCGAGACGTCAGGGGGGAGGGGGGTGGTCTGGTGGCCTTAATTCACTTTTCTTTTGTAGGGTACATAGGAATGCTATTAATGGTCTCAGCATGCATGTAATTGTCATTCAATGGAAAGCAGATTTTGATGTTCTTCTGAGGCATGTATAAGCATTTTGATAGGAATTTCCTATTTGGGTAGTAATGACACGGCCACGGCACACCCAAGTCACACCTGCCAGCTATGCCTGCAGCCAAAATTGGTTTTATAATGATGTCCGCAGGGTGGATGTGGGTGGAGAGCACAAGAAGGGACACTATATATAGAGGAAATTAGTAGTACTGCATGACATTTTCACCAGTTTCTCACACCCATCATGGAATTGCCTTTTTGGGACATCACGTGCAATCATGTGGCGTGACATCACACAGGGAGGGGGGTGTCCAGCAGTAGTTAACTCACTTTTCTGACCTGACGTCGGGGGTTTCAGCTATGCATACCTCTTGCCAGGGGTTTTGAGAGGTTGCTTCAATTTCAGTGAAGCTAAGTTATGGTTATACAAAATTGCAAGGACTGACCTTTTCAATAGTTAATCATAATGCTGACCCATTTCAATCAATTCAGCAGGCCTGTGACACTGAATGACCTATGACCATTTGGCCAAATTTTGTGTGACCTACTGCCCGATTAGGAAATTTAGCATGCCGCAGGTGCATAAAATTTGAAAATCCTCCCGATTAGGATGCTGTGGGATGAAAAAAAATAGCTCTTGCTAAAATATTTTGGCCGAAAAATGTGATGTGGCTATGACTGGCTGCTGTCACTGGCAGAATTAGCATTTGTCACGGGCCACCCGCGGGTAAATCTGGGGTGGCCTGTACAGGCCGTACCCGTTCCCGCCGATGGCCCGGGTCCGCTTTGGTGGGTGCGGGTAACTGCGTTTTGGCCAATGGGCTGTGGATGGCCCACGTTTCCGCGGCCTGCAGACCACACAAGCCACGCCAAGGCAGTCTAAACAATCAAGACGATGTCGGGGAATGCTGTTGCGGGTTTGGGCACCCCAGCAACAGCCATTGTGACCATTGAAGCCAAGTCAGTCACATTTTCAAGGCATCAAAACTTGGCCGGAGCCGGCTATCCCGGCTGGCTATTGGGTTGGCCAGGCCCACACCCATACCCACGCAGGCCTGTCCTCACAGCCCGTCACGGGTCATGCCACCCGTGATGATCACTAGGCAGAATCGAATGCAATGGGTCAGTAGTAACTTGAATTATAGCTTCAAGTTACCCTTTGAGTGTACTTATTCAATGCCTCAGTGTCTACTGTACTATTTCGATTAATTGTCCGCGTTACGCGTTACACGCGGTCCGGGTGCGGACACCTGCAGCCGCCGTTACACATTCGAGTCTGATTTACCATCAAATCCAGGCCTAAAAAGGCAATTTTTCGTTCCGGCTGACGCCGCACTTGCCTTTTATAGTAATCCGGACACCTTGTCCGGCGGACAGTTTGCATTACGTGTTACATGCCGCGGACAATTAATCGAAATAGTACAGTATGTGCTCTGTTGCAGTCACCACAGCTTTAGGTGCCTGCCACTGCCTGGTGCCCATTCCATCAACTTGAGAATTGCTACTTGAAGCCTACTTCTTATAAGGGGTTCAATGGGAGCTCCAAAGCAGTACTCTTTCCAGACAATGACCACAAGTCTTGTCTTGCACTCTGATTCATAGCTCATAGTGTACAATTCATATATACAATGGTTGTCTATACCTCCCTGTTAACTTGGCTAGGTATAAAAGGCTGCCTCTGTACAAAGGGGATGATTCATGAATTCGGTCAAAGTTCACTAGTTGTGGTCATGTTTACCATCAATCACTACAGTGAAACCAAACACTGGCAGTTGTTCAATCAGGGATAGGATAGTATAGATTTACCACAGTAGGATGTCAGGTTCAGGGAATCTGGCCATCTGCTATCAAACATAAACCCTCCTCCCTAATGCGGAAATCTCGTGACTTCCATCATTTCAGCTGAGGTATGAAAAAGCAGACTGCTTATTGTCATGGTTAAGTTTATGTAGCTTGATCTTGATACTTGAGACTAATTTCTACACCTCATTCAGTTTGTGAACTTAAGGCCAAGTGTTGTTGTCAAAACCTGTCAATATCATCACAGAATTAGTCGGTTGCTTGTAACAACTTTGGATATGTACAAACCCTTGCAAGTGTCTTATAAACCTCCTAAAATGTTGAGCACTGTGGATAAGGTGATCGTAAGTGGCCTGTGAGCTTGTCATAAAGTTTGTTAGAACAGTCAACATTACCACACTTTGCAACTCCCTTATAACCTCATTGTTACTTAGCGAAATTCACAGCTATGTCTTCAACGTCAACTGGATTATAATGACTCGGATGTGTTACACAGTGAAGGTCAAGAAAAGATAGCTAAGTAGGTACTACAACCCAAAATATTCTCTCCATGCTTCTCTCGTAGAATGGTGTCGGAAAAGTTTTACAACAAAGTGAGTAAGCACAAGACATTCGACCTTCGACATAGGAGGACCATCGTATTCGGCGATGAGTTCTTCCACAGAGTTCACCACGGGCAGGTTGAAGACACCTTCGATGCGAGTGTACGTGTCAGACAGTGACGCTGCCATCATCTAATCTTTTATCTTATCTCCCAATCTACAGTCGATCACAGTATACGAAACCTGGACGACGGGAGAGGCTCCTAACCCTTCTCTCGTCGTACCAGGTATGACCCCTCTTACTTATCTCACATACATGTTTCCTAACCCTTCTCTCGTTGTACCAGTCGTACCAGTACCTCAATACACATATCTTTGATAGGTTATGGGCCCCGCCTGAAATCTGCGCACCAAAGCCACACACATTCTCAGGCACTATATTGCTCACAGACTCTGAAACATCACTAGTCAACCCAATCCACTTCACAACTTCGCTCGCTCGAACTATTACTTCACAACGGCATACCCATTCCAATCTCTGTTCGAAATGAGCTCAGGCGACAACGATAAAGAATGGCGAGCATTGAAACTCACCCCTATCGTCGAAAACACAGACGGCAGTAACAACTACGCTGAGTTTCGAGCCAAAGCGTTGAGGAAGCTCGATGCTGCTGGGTACTGGCAATACATCGATGGTCCAAACTATAAGCCACCAGTCATTCCAGCACTCATTCAGAGTCAAGTACATACCGGAGTGGACCAGGCAGGCAACACCACCACAATAACCACGCAAGGAAACGAGGTAGCCGTCAACGTTGCCAAGAAAGCTGCAGAGGCCTGGTTGATTCAAGACAAGAAGGCGTTGTCCACGATTACCGATGCCGTCCCGATGGCCAAGTTGTATGTGATTAACGACTGCGAAACGGCACGTCAAGCTTGGATGGCGTTGAAGGAAGCGTACGAACCAACGAATACACTGACAGCGGTTACACTCAAGCGACAGATATCTTCGTTGTTTTGCGGAACAGGAGATCCAGTGGCCTGGAGAGTGACGATGCTCCAGCAGTTCCAGAAACTCTGTCGAGCAGATCCCGAGATGATGCCAGACCATGAATTCGCGAAATGCCTAATCACGAATATGGCGCAAACCGAAAAATGGCGATACTGTCGGGACTCGCTCCTCCAGGAGATGACTATGGCAGAAAAGGCAGGCAAACCTCTCAGTTCTGCAGAGGTGTCGACCAGGCTACAAAATGAAGAAGCGTTCAAAGCTTCAAGTGCGAGTTCTTCGACAGCCGCAAACGCCGATGCCGACACCAGCGCAGTCGCTACTGCTTCATTAGCACAACCGATGCAACAACGTAGATTCCAACAGAGAACGCACCAACGAACGGATCGACGCCCCGCACCATATGATCGTCGCAACGCCAATGCTCCTCCAAACGATACTCCCCATCGCGATCGACAACGAATGTTCTGCGAAAATGTCGAATGTGCCACGCCAATTGGCCACTGCCAAGCCGACTGCTTCGCTTACAAGGGCGGAAAAGAAGGTCAATACCCCGACAATTATCATGGATCACGGAATATTCACCTTCCACCGGCTGAGAGAGTCGCTGCAGCAAGACGGCAGGCGCGCCAAAACCATGGGAGGAACAGAGGAGGTGGAGATCGTTTCGTGGGCATGCTGGACTTCACAGAAGATGATGATGATGAGGCCCTGGATGTTCTGAGTAATGAAACGATAGCGGCCAGCTTTGTCTTCATGGCGGGAGGAATGGATATCGATGAGGAGGAAGAGGAAGGCGACATCTGGGTTAATGCCGTCAACGTAACGCCCGGCGGTGAACCACCACGCACCAACAATGTCTACCACGACACAGGTGCTTCCCGACACGTCTTCAATGACATTGCGTCGTTCCAAGATTACAAGCGTTTCCGAGAGCCCGTGAACGTACATGGCTTTGGCGC